AGTAGACTACTTGCACCATAAAACATAAATTCTGGGAACTATTAGGGAGGAATCCTTTTCACCTTCTTTCTCCCTGAACTACATGGTCTTTTGTTCCTCCAGAATGCACCCCTTCCCTCCTGGGAATCTGGACAACACCCCATCACATCCCTATGGGTACAACTACTTATGCAATAAACCATCATTTAAATCATCACTTAAATCGGGGGCAGGGGAATTCAATCACCACTTGCCTGAGAAGCAATCACAGTTGGGATCAATCTTACAATCACAATCTGTCGGTGCTCCAGCAATGACAGAGATCTCTCCATTGGTTGTGACCTGCTGGATGCGGTTGATCTTCCTCTCATCTGTCTCGGCAATGTACAACACACCGCTGTGAGAGACGCCAACAGCACGGGCTGATTCGAGGGTGGAATGGATGGCCACTTTGCTGACCAGCACGTGGTCAACACCGGGAACTTGGCAGTGAATTGGGCGGCCCGCAATGATGCGAACCCGCCGGTTCTGAGAAATTTGCAGGACGATGTTGTTGTCCAGCACATATAATGAGTTGTCAAGAGGGTTGACAGCAAGATCTGATGGCCATTCTAAGCGAACCTGCAGTGTGAAAAGGAATAAAAGATATTCAAATGCTTCTTACACTTTTTTTTTTAAAGAAAAGAATTATGTTGCCTTCTAGTTCATTCATTTATTCTTTAAGCAGCTATGGATAGACATTTTTTAAATAGACAATTAAGTTGTTTAGCAATTGCAATACGCTACAGCAAACAGGGTCCTAATGGTTACATATTTACGTATTGTTGCAGACTTATAATAATAATAACAATAATAAAGTTGGAAGGGACCTTGGAGGTCATCTAGTCCAACCCCCTGCTCAGACAGGAAACCCTATACCGTTTCAGACAAATGGCTGTCCAGTCTCTTCTTAAAAACTTCCAGTGTTGGAGCATTCACCACTTCTGGAGGCAGGTTGATCCACTGTTCTAACTGCCAGGAAGTTTCCCCTTGGCATGAGGTGTTTCAGGAAAGAGTTTTTGTAATTTGTCTGAGGGGGGGGGTTTTCTCTTATCCAGAAGTGCTCCCTAAGATTGAGTGGTCCTGGAGTCCAAGAGAGTACCGGAAATAATGTAATGTTTTCATAAGAAAAACACAATTTCTTCAACCCATCTATTTTCTAAGTTGATATGTATGTATTTACCAGGACTGTGGAATGCCTTGGATTTAATTTCAAAGCTTGGAAGGGAGCAATTATGATCCTGAACTGTAATTCTTAGTATCAGATTTTTTTTTTTTGTTCCTGGAAAAGGTATAGCTGCTTTAAAGAGTTGCAAACACATGCTACATTCAGATTGCTCCAAAGCATTTTTAGGGGGAATCTAAGGCAAAATGTTGCCCGCTGTTATGTTCATATATTTTATAAAAAGGGGACTAAGAAAGTTAGGTTTAAAACTGCTTAGGGAGCCCTTCAGTGCCATTCCAAAATTCAGTGCTGCAATTAATTTACCACATTAACTCTAGTGTATTGTTGTCCAGTTCGGATTTTGGCTCGTATTTCCTGTCTATTATGTAGCTGTTTAAGAAGAAGAGTGTGCAAATAAATGTGAGTGCTGAACTGTAATTCTATTTATATTCTAAGTAAGTTTTGGGATGAAAGATGTTTTCATACGAAAGGGCATTTTCAATATCTTTTTTCCTATTATAATACCTAAAAATACAGAATTCCAGTTGACATTGTTTTCATTGGATAGCCAAGCATGCCATAGTCAGTCCCATTAAAATGGGGACATTATTATCTTGTGAACAACTCATGCAAGCAAAACCCCAATCCTAACTGACAGGAAATGGAAAACTTGGAAAAATTAAATGGTTACCACCATCTAGTGGTAACAGATCTGTCTGTGTGAATAAGTGACAAAGCTGAAAATATGATTCAGTGAATATGTCGTCTGGATTCTTCACTGTGGCAAGAAATGGACATTTTGTACAGAGAAGATGGATAGGATGAACTATTTGGGAACACTCTGCAGCCCTTGGTCATTTATTTTACTTTCTGACGTTAACCTGGATCCAACCCTCTCTATAATCCAGTAACACTATTGAAGATGAAACTCAACAAAAATTCATGAAATTGCTAATCAGTGGAAAACTGCTTCTTACTAGTTACAGTAGTTGTGAAGCAGTGAAGCAAACAAAAGTTCCATATAATTTCTTATATCCAGATCCAGATATGTGTTGTTTGTCCATCGATTTCGATGAAGACCTTGACATCTTGTGGATTGTGGGCCATCAACGGTGTGTCCGTAGATGGCTGATGAGACCGATGTTAGCACGGAATGTTCTGCCACATACTGAACAGAGAAATGTGGACACTGTTGCTTCAGCATTTGCAGCTCTGGCTTTACGGAGTGCTCGCTTCTCTTGTGCCAAGACTGTCCTTCTGTGTTCATATGTCTGGCAACCCTGGTAAACCAGATATGTAGTGCAGGGTTGAACTATGGAGTCCTCGAGGCTCTGAGTTTGGTTAGGGTTAGGATTTGAAACATGCTTGCAGACGTTTCATTACCTGACTAGGTAACATCATCAGTTGAAGTGAGAGTGGGGTTTGCTCCCAGTAGCTTGTCTTGCCAGAGTTGGTAGTGGTGGTGGTTTTGTCTTCGTAATTCCATGATTAGGATATTGTTTTCTGCTTGATTGTTTGTTTGATTTTAATCCCTCTTTAAGGATTAGCCAATTTTCCTTCCTTCCTTCCTTCTTCCCTCCCTCCCCTCTCTTTCTTTCTTTCTTTCTTTCTTTCTTTCTTTCTTTCTTTCTTTCTTTCTTTCTTTCTTTCTTTCTTTCTTTCTTTCTTTCTTTCCCACCATTATTATATTTTACAAATAACTCAGGGCAGCAAACAAATCCATTACAGCTTCCTCCTCCAATTTTCCCCACAAAAACAACCTTGTGAGGTGAGTTGAGCTGAGAGAGAATGACTAGCCCAAAGCCACCCAGCCGGTTTTCATGGCTAAGGCGGGACTTGAACTCATGGTCTCTGGTGGCTTTGAGGCCCTTAATGTCTTAGTTACACAGGCATGCTAGTTTAAAAGTGCCATCAAGTTCTTATCCAAAAGGTAGCTTAAGGAATACTTGCTGGTAATCACAGCTTGAAAGCAGCGTAATTATTATGTGCACAAAAACAGAACTCTTCAAATGCTGCAGGTGGGAAGAAGCAGAGCTGGTAGGATCCTGGTCACATTCCTTCTAAATATGAAATAAACAACCTTAATCTTCCTACCCAGTATCAGCCATGAAGCATACATTTTGCTTAAATGCACATTGCAAGATTTTTTGCCATCCACAAAATCCCAGGGGCAGTAGGGATGTTTTCTTTCATTTTAGAAGGATGCAGTCTGTTTATGAGCAGGCGTGGTTCAGATTGCTGGATGCAACCTAAGAAACCTTATGATCCCATGGATGAAGTGGGGGAGTTGCCCTCGAAATTCCTTTCTGAAAATTTACAGGTTCCTCAGAGCAGACTTGGCTGTGAAAGTTGGACCATAAGAAAGGCTGAGCGCAAAAGAATGGAGGCCTTTGGACTCTGGTGCTGGAGAAGACTCCTGAGAGTCCCCTGGACTGCAAGGCATTCAAACTAGTCAGTCCTAGAGGAGATCAACCCTGACTGCTCTTTAGAAGACCAGATCCTGAAGTTGAAACTCAAGTACTTTGGCCACCTAATGAGAAGGAAGGACTCACTGGAGAAGAGCCTCATGCTGGGAAAGATGGAGGGCAAGAGAAGAAGGGGATGACAGAGAATGAGGTGGCTGGATGGAGTCACTGAAGCAGGAGGCATGAGCTTAAATGGACTCCAGAAGGTGGAAGAGGACAGGAAGGCCTGGAGGAACGTTATCCATGGGGTCGCAATGGGTCGGACACGACTTCGCAACTAACAACAACAACAGAGCAGACTATACTGCAAGAATAGAGGAACTGGCAAACAGGACCAAAATATTCAACTTGAACTCCAGTGGTGTCTTGTCCTCTCTTACAACCAAAAGAGTCCTTTTATTTGCAGAAATGTCATTCTAGAGAAAAAAAACAATGTTTTTCAAAGTTCGGATGCATTTCGTAACATGGCCAAGTAAAGCCCTTGGCAGATTTTTGCGGAAGGGAAAGTGTTATTTGTAAAACTCAGTTGCTGGCTGGTAACGTGATGCAAATTTAGACATTTATCTGCACACTTTATGCTCCTTAAATAGGTCAAGAATGCGCTCAAGTTATTATAATGTAATTTGTGGCTCCAGCAACATTCAGCACTTATTAACCGTGCGTTATTTGGTGTAATGTGTTTGACAAGTGATTCAGATGCAGAGGGGGATGGGGGGGAAGAGAGGTCGCTGCCAACTCCAAGGAACCACCCAGACCACAGCCTGCTGTGAAGAGTGACAGGAGAGGTTGATTGAATTGCAAATAGCCCTGATGAAACTTTTCTTTCTGAACATCAGCAGTGTCAGATATTTTCAAATCACACAGCCGCACAAGAGTAATGCCATATGAATTTGATTGCACCACATTCCAGAGCTGTTGGTCATAAGAATCTGGAAGCTTTGGCAGGTGTAAAGATCTGTTGGGGGCAAAAGTCTTCCTCATTTATTTATTTTTTTGCTCGCTTCAGCAAGAACTGGAAATGTATTCAGTAATCCTTTTGACAAACTACAATTCAACGCAATAGAAACTCAGGCTTCTTGTGCTTTCCTTAGTTTACAAAATTATCAAGTTTAAACTAGGATTCTGCCCTAATAGAAGGGCCTATTTGTAGCTCGGGGTGAAATGCGAAGTCTATGGTGCTCTCTGAGCCTATTTGATTGCTTGCAGACATTTCATTACCTAACAAGGTAACATCATCAGTGTGAGTGACTGTAGGTTCCTCTACAGTAGAGTCAACTATGACATATAGCATAAGGACTGTGACAGCCATGAGGTAGGACATCCATGCAAAAGACTAGCAGAGCCCATCCATGAATGCCAATGAACAGTCAGAAGACATGGCGAAAACTCAATCTCACAACACATGAATAGACTCAACCAGATTTTCAGTTGGGACACTGTGAGCATCCTAGACCAGTGATGGCAAACCTTTTAGAGACTGAGTGCCCAAACTGCAACCCAAAATCCATTTATGCATTGTCAAGTGCTGGGTGGGTGTGGCCCATTGGGTGGACGTGGCCCATTGGGTGGGCGTGGCTGCGGTGGTAACGGCAGACTGAGTGGGACTAAAACGTTGAATCAATTCCAACTTTGCAAGATCTTTTTTTCCCCGCGAGAAGTTGAAATTGACTGATTGATTGAATATTTTTTTTTACACACGGCGGCAGAGGCCTAAAGCAAAAAGTTTTTATAAAACCCAGCTGAAGGCCTAGGACTGGGGCGACGGCGCGTGTGCCCACAGAGAGGGCTCTGAGTGCCGCCTCTGGCACCCGTGCCATAGGTTCGCCACCACTGTCCTAGACCAAGCTAAGACTAAAAAAGCTAGGGAATTCATGGAACCTTGACATTCAATCAAATCACACATCAGCAGACTCATAGAAATAAATCACATTTGCACACCATTCAAAAGGGATAATTAAAAGGCCAAGAAGAAAACAAAAAGACCAGAATACATTATCTCCAGCACCGAGATAAGCAGGGATTCATACCAGACAAACAACCAATCAAACAGGTAAGAATACCCTAATCAAGGAACTACCAAGGAGATAACCACAACCACAGCAACACTGGCAGGGCAAGTTATTTTATATAAATTGGGAGCGCCTCGCCCTGATGATGTTGCCTAGTCAAGTAATGAAATGTCTGCAAGCAAACAGCCAAGCTCAGCGAGTGTTCTGCCTTTATGCAATTCTCCTTCTCTGCATTTTTACCATTTTCCAATTCTTCACACAAATCCCAAGAGATGCCGTAAAGTGGGAATATTTTCTTTGCCCCTGGTGATAATTATGATTTTTACGATCGCAGTGATGATTTGGGGGCAACCAAAGAGGAGTGACGGAGAAAAGGATGAAATAAAAATCAAAACAAAATACACCAGCACCATCTGCCACCTTGCAACAACTCGAAGGAAGATCAGTGAAGAAAATGTGAAAGGAAACTTAAATCCATCCTGACAATGTGGTAGAAATGCAGAAGTCAGAAAAAAACAAAAACAAAACTGAAAACCTGGAGCACAGATTTTAATATATTTGTGCTACGTATCTCCATTTAGAGTTTTGTGTTTAGAGTTCTAAACACAAAAAGGCCTTTTTGATAAAGAGAAGGTTCCAAGGACAGATTCCCATGATGGCGTGAGAACAAGGTTTTAAACTGTTTCGTCAGATTACTTGAATTTCAAGGACTGCAGATATCTAAAAATGCCCAACAGGATTTAAAAGAGCTGTGTGATTGATGATGGTTTTGGAGGTTTTGGAAGCTCAAGTCCTTGACAGTATAGCCAGTGGTCAGAGATGATGGGGTTTAGAGCTCATAATGTGAAGGTCACCAGTTCTTCATCCCTGACTCGATATTATGCAAAATTTCTGTTAGAAAAAGAGTAGCTTTGAGTACAACTGAGAGGGGGGGGGGAAATCCACTATAATTACAGTAAAAAAAGTGAATCATAGGTTGTATCTTCATAGGGTCAAGATGACTTTTCTTTCAGCTAAAAAGAAGAACCAATAAAGGAGAATATTTCAAATGAGGGGTGCTTGGTCCTCTCTGAGCTTGGTTCTTTTCTTGTAAATGTTTCAGTACACAAATTAGGTAACATCATCAGTGCTAGACAAAGGAGTGGAGGAGGAGAGAAGAAGAAGAACTGTGGGGTTCCTTGGTGCTCTCTGAACTTGTCTGTTTTCTTGCAGATGTTTCATTACCAAAGTAGGTAACGTCATCACTCCTAGTAAGGAGTGAGGTTTGCTCTCAGTTTATATTCTAATTGTTTAGTTGGTTGTTGGTCTGACGTTAATCTGGTAACGTCAGATTACCCCAATTGAGGAATGTCAAGGTATTGATTTAACAGCTAACCAGCTTATGTAATGTAAGATTTAAGATGTAATGATGGGAATGACTCAGCAGGGTCTGTGTCTCTTTAAGAGCCTTTGTATAAAAGGGAAGGCTCCGCAGATGTGTTCTCTCTCTTCCTTTTCCTGCTCTAACTGCTGTGTGTTGGAGACTGCTGTATTAACATGTGTATGTATATTGTTCCTGGTGTATGATATTGTAGATAGTGTAGTATAAACCACCATTTAATATAGACCACTGTTTACTGTGTTTACTCCTGGGTTATCTCGGGCAATAAGACTGTGCACGCTCTGACAAGGAACTGTCAAACAAGCCAACAGTAAACAGTCCAACCAAATGACCTCTAAGACCACTTCCACCAACACTGTCAGGGCAAGCCACTAGAATGTAAACTGAGAGCAAAACTTACTCCTTACTAGCACTGATGATGTTACCTAGTTTGGGTAATGAAACATCTGCAAGAAAAGAACCAACCTCAGAGATCACCAAGGACTTCTTAAAAGAAGGAATTAGGTGGGAAGCATTATTGTAGAGTTGAAGTCCAAGATAGGCAGAGGGCACCAGATTGGGAAAGTTTTCTGGAGTTTTCTGGAGTGAAGAAGCAGGTCATTAAGAAGGCCTCAGGGTAGATGTACCTTGTCTTTTTCCTGGGATGTAACTTTCAGTTTCTCCCCCATTTCAATGGGCTTAAACTTTGCCACCCAGATAATTTGTTCCCTCTGGTATATACACCACAAGGAGTATTTTATACAGACATAGGCACGTTCCGTAACAACTCAGAACTTTTATCATCAAGCTGTATTACACAGCAGACTCAAACCATACTTACTATTCAGAATAAGAACACAAAGCTTACACATGGGATTCCTACAGAAAAACTATACCTTCTTTAAGTCTGCTATTACACCTTCCTGTCTCTCAGGTGGATTTACTGGCTACGGAGTGGCAAGCTCAGGGAATAGCTTCCGGATTCTACTGAAGTTTAATTCTCCCATAATCTTATTAAAGTTAATGAGGATGAAAACTTATCTGGCTTTCAGATTTATCCCAATCAAGCCTTTACTGTCCTGTTTATAGAGTCTTGGGAGATTTCAGCTGAAGTCACTGTACAATACATAAAATATGTTATATGCTAAGTGCACTGGAAAGTATGGTCATCTTCACTTGGGAGGCATCAGAAATGATCTTCAAGTAAGCTCTGTGAGTCAATTAATGCCTAATTTTGTCATGCAAAACGCAACTGGTTTCCAGATTGAACAGTAACGATGTACGGAAATGATTCAGGTCTACCTGAGAGATGTCCATGCTGGCATCACAACGCAGAGGCTGGGTTGATGTGAGGCCATTTGAGCCTATTAACGTTGTGATCTGCCCACTTCCATCGATCTTGCGAATTGTGGTGCCGTCCACAAAATAAATGAAGCCATGCTTATCGACGGTGATACCTGTTGGAAAAAAGGGAAGAAAATTCAGCAGCAGGACTAGGAGGGAATAGGACTATAAATGCAAGATGGAGGAAGGAGACCATCCAGCAAGGAATAACATTAAAGGAGGACATGGCTGAAGGATCTGACCTCTCTTATACTACTTGGAGGACCCTGGAAAGGTTGAGAGTTGGAGTGCCTAAATGTAAAACCAATATGCTCAAGCAGAGGCTCTTAGCGGACAACCACACACTGTGTGAATGTGGAGAGATGCACAGCCCAGCCCATCTGCTGGTATGTCGGCTACTGCCAGAAACATGTGTTGACAATGAGTTATTTTTGGCCAATGACAAAGCCAAGAAGGTGACTTCAGTCTGGCAGTTTAAAGTGATCTAGGAGGAAGTAGAAGAAGAAGAAGAAAGAAGAAGAAGAAGAAGAAGAAGAAGAAGAAGAAGAAGAAGAAGAAGAAGAAGAAGAAGAAGAAGAAGAAGAAGAAGAAGAAGAAGAAGAAGAAGAAGAAGAAGAAGAAGAAGAGGAGGAGGAGGAGGAGGAGGAGGAGAGGAATAATAATAATAATAATAATAATTTAGTTCTGAAGCCCTTCGTTGTTTTTTACTGTGATTTATTAGTCTGCTGTGCTTTTAAATGTATGAACCTGATATCAAAGAAACCGTCATGCTCAGTAAAAATTCTTGATTTTTATCAATATCTTTTACCATTATGAAGAATGTATGAAGTAACCCAATTGGGGGGGGGAGCAGAGGTCAAAACAAAACATTTCACAAACTGGAGATTAGTTTATTAAACTGTACTTGGACATCAGTTGATTGAGGAAATAATTCTGAACAGGATTGAGTTTGAAATGCTTCTAAAATATTCAAACTTTGTTTTAAAAAGTTTAAATGTTCAGTTTTGTATTAATCAGAAAACAGCCTACAGGCGGAATGTTCCTGGTCAGTTCAACCAATACAAGAAGCCTTGGAGAGCCAACTCATCTTGTGAGTTTTGTGGAGTTATGGACAAGATAGTCAACTTTCTCAACAGTTGCTGAAAATGTATGGAATTTTCTGCCTCTGAAGATATAACTAACCACCACCCTCATTGGTTTATTTATAAAACGATCTTATTCTACCATGCCCTTGGTCCTAATTGAATAGAGGCATGATGGTGCTTTTTATAGGAATCCTATTGTAACTGTTCTTTTCAATTGTGCTGCTATTGTTTTATTGTTTGCTGTGCACAGGGTGTTGGAAGTGAGGCCTAGAAATGTTATAAAAATAGACAAGTACATAGCCATTTCCACGTATTTCTTTTTGATACATTTTTCCAATCATACAACAATTTTGAGTGCGTATAATTTCCCCAGTATGTACATTATTACACATGTTTGATGTGAAGAACGGTATCTTCAAATCTGGAGATCAAATACTGAAGGATAACTGCAGTCTGGTTTCCATACTGATTTAGCAAATGTAGATTTGATACACTTTTACAAAAAGCGAGTACTGAAGAGTATGTGTTCCCATGCTGACGTCTACATAAATGCATTTTAGGTCCTATGAGACTGAACATTTTGTAATCTTTCCATCGATCTGCCTTAAATATTTTTATTTTGTCTCTTGAGATGGTTTACAAACAGGTCCAGAAACTGATATAAAGTAATATTGAAAAGAAAATAACAGGTAGAAAGAAGCATTTTTAAGCTTGAAAGCATAGGAATGGCTCAGAAACATAGTAATTATTTATTCGATCTCTGAAATTCTGTACACTGGAATTATACTGATTCTTTAAAACAGTATAGATTACAACTGGTTCATCTATGAATACACTACTAAGTAACGGTTTGTTTAACTATCATTGATTTTTCAAGCTACCATGGAATGCATAACGTGCCAAGCAATAAACTATTAATGCTGGAGTTCAAAATGTGAAGCCACCAACAAAAGTCCAAAACATTCAAGTCCCAGATGGGAAGGTCTAGAGAGCAAAGAAGATGACTTTGATGGAGATATGTAGGATCTGTTTCCTAGGCAACAGGGACTAAAGCATTTTTTAAAACCCAGAATATCCAGATAATGTTTGGCAGCAGCTCAGACACATCCCTTATTCACCGAACTATGAAATGGAAGAGGAAGAGGTTTAGCACAATGAGATTTGCAAGGTTCTGTTATTATTGATTATGTGTCATCAAGTCACCGCCAACTCCTAGTGACCAAAAGATAGATTTTGTCCATGATGAGTTGTCCCTAACTTTGTCTTTCAGATCTTTTCAGCTCTGCACTCATGATCATTATAAGTGGTGGTCTTCTCTTCTCTTTCTTTCCACCTTTCCCTGCATTAAAGACTTCTTTAGATAGCTAAACAACTAGACACAAAGATAGTTCCTTCCCCTGTGCCATCACTCTGCTAAACACCTGACTGCCATGCTGTCTTATGCCTAAAGATATTTACCCCTGTAGTAGGCTATATTGCTGTTGTCCATGTCATCTTCTCACCCTTGTTATCTTTCTCATCTTCTCATCTTTCCTACTACCTTCTCCTATTGGTATCTTAGGATTTATCCTAAGCAACAAAGATGATTAGGGGATTGGAGGCTAAAACATATAAGGAACAGTTGCTGGAATTGGGTATGTCTAGTTTAATGAAGAGAAGGACGAGGGGGGACATGATAGCAGTCTTCCAATATCTCAGGGGCTGCCCCAAAGAAGAGGGAGTCAAGCTATTCTCCAAAGCGCCTGAAGGCAGGACAAGAAGCAACGGGTGGAAACTAACCAAAGAGAGAAGCAACCTAGAACTAAGGAGAAACTTCCTGACAGTGAGAACAATTAACCAGTGGAACAACCTGCCTCCAGAAGTTGTGAATGCTCCAACACTGGAGGTTTTTAAGAAGAGACTGGACAGCCATTTGTCCGAAATGGTATAGGGTTTCCTGCCTGAGCAGGGGGTTGGACTAGATGACCTCCAAGGTCCCTTCCAACTTTATCATTATTATTATTATTATTATTATTATTATTATCACTTGTTGTCTCTATCTTAGGTTTATGATTGTATCTTATGATTTATGATCCATGACATATCACTTTGTTGTTTGTATATACACTGAGAGCTTATGCACCGGAGATAAATTCCTTATATGTCCAATCACACTTGGCCAATAAAGAATTCTATTAATAAAGAATAAAGAATTCTATTAATTAATTAATCAGTCAAATCACCGTCAAATCCTACTGACCCAAAGATAGATTTTCCTCCATAATAATCTGTCCCTAACCTCGTCTTTCAGATGTTCCAGCACTGAACCCATCCTCATTTTAACTGCTGGTCACCTTCCTCTTCTGTTTTTTTCCACCTTTCCCAGCATTAAAAACTTCCTTGGAGAGCTAGGTCTTCATACAACATGTCTGATTCTGTTATTGAAGTCAATCTTAATGAATGCAGCCTTAGCTTTCCTGTTCTTATCATTATTTTTTTTTATTTCCAAAGTTAAAACACAAACTTCAAAAGAAAATAAGAACAAAGCAGAACTAAACAAAAACAAGAAACAATGTGCATAAAAATAAAGAAAAACAAAAAGAAAAACATACACACATATTGTCCCCTAGTTGTATACTGAGAACTATATTTCAACATTAATAGTCCCCCCCCTTGCAAAACAGGTCAACAATTTATGAACTTCTACAACTCTATTTACCCGAACAATTTGACCAACCAGCTATCTACTGTAAAAAAGAACAGTTAACAGATAAACTTAACAGCAAAGCTAAACTTCAAAGTCCTCTATTAACAATCTTTTATTTTATTTAATCACAGAAAGTCCACAATGTAATACTTACCTTCCCGTGGAGTTGCTTTCATAGTCTGAAACCAACTCCATACACACACACACATACATACATTTAGATATGCTTCCTTTACAACAGTGTGGGATACACACACACACACTGATATGCTTCCTTTACAACAGTGGAAGAATACGCACACACATATACATACATATATACACATACACACACACTTCGCACTTCGATATGCTTCTTTTACAACAGTGAGGGTGTGTATGTGTGTGTATATATATATACATAAATACATATGTATGTATGTATGCATGTATAGTTAAAAGGTAGGCCATGCATGTATGTATGTATGTGTGTATATATGTGTGTATGTGTGTGTGTGTATATATATATATACAGGAAGTTTTTTCAGACAGACCGGTCTGATTGAGAACACCTGGACATTTTTAACTGCTATACTGCAGGTTTTTTTTACTTTTTACAATATCTTTTACCATGCAGCCCCACAACTAGGGGCGTTAAGCAGGCTCAAGTCGCAACTGCGAAACATTTTTTAAATCCAAATTTCTTTTTCTGACAAAGAGTTAAAGAATTAAATTGGGAGACTAAGATGGCCATTTCTAGCTTGTTCTGCTTTCATCAGTTAGCCATACCCTTTATGGGATTCGAACCTGGGCAGTTTACATACTAGGCAGTGATTCAACCACCAAGCCACAGGCTCTTCTCCCCTCTTTGCCAGCAGAGTCAAGGGAGTATATACAGGAAGTTTTTTCAGACATATGTATGTATGTATGTATGTATATATGTCTGTTGTAAAGGAAGCATATCGAAGTGTGTGTGTGTATGTGCATACACATACATACACACACAAACACACATTAAAGTTGACCAAAATCACACTTCCTTGCTATAAAAACTGCAATCCAAATCAAAGTAAAAGAAGGAGCAATACAGAATGTTTGCAGAAATAAATTCCCCAGGATGTAGGTGGCTATTATGCTGAAGGGAAAAACACTCAGTCTTCTAACATACTGATTTAAAATGAGATTCTAGAAAGTGTCATAAAATGATATATAATTCGCTGAATGTGTGATACCACAGGGGACGTGGAATCATCCAAAATGTAAAAATGATAGACAAAAATAATTCAGGATATGAGAACTTAGAAATACACATTAGAAACAAAGAAAGGAAAAGACTCAACAAATCTGGCTGCCACTCAACTTC